ATCTGGGTTGTACAGCCTAGAGTCTTGGTTATGTGACATAAAACATTCAAGAGTTTGTCTTAAGAGCTGTATAAAAACACTCCTGTGGATTCTGATATTGATGAACTACTAGTGTAATGAACTGCATCTTTGCTGTAATAGTAATACACACTGATAGTAATCTTACCAAGTTACCTGGTGGTTCCCCCCCCCCCCCGTTTTTTTGAGACAGTGTCTTGCTATGTAGTTCAAACTGGCCTTGAACTTAAGTGAACTTTCTGCCTCAGCCTCCTGAGTTCTGGGATTAGAGGTGTGTGTTACATACATGGCCTCAAGTAATGGTTTCTCAATTTGCTGTTATAACAGGTACTATAATGCAGTCTAGGTCAAAGGTTGGCAACATTTGTGAAGAGCCAAATGATAATTACTTTAGACTTTGATCTTTGTTACAACTTCTCATCTCAGCTGTTGTGGCTAGAAAGTACCACCACACCCTAAAATAAGATTAAAAGTTATATTTTGAGGGGGCCTGCCCCTTAGCTCAGTTATTTAAGTGGCTGCTTAAACAAAGCCGTCAGGCTCAAGTTGCTGTGGTTCATCCCCAGAACTCAAGCCAGCCAAACCTGCCCTGAAGGCATTCGGAGCCAGCCCCCCACCTCCCAAAAACAATCCTTCTGCCAAAAGTTATATTTTGAGGGAGAACAAACATATGCGCATGTACATACTGCTATAATTCTATTATTAGTTATTGCTGCTTATCTTTTACCATGCCTAATTTATAAATTAACTTCATCATAGGTATGCATACAAAAAAATATTATATATAGAGTTCAATACTATCCAGTAACAAGCATCCATTGGGGATCTTGGAACCTATCCTTCATGGATTGGGACAAGGAGCTATTTTATATCTTATACATAATATACTTCCCAGAAAAATTACTCTCCTAAGTTTTCAAAATAGAGTGAAGATTGTATCAAATTTAAACACATTGCCATATCAGTGTCTTTACTTACATCAAACTTTTTATAGACTCATGTTTTTCAATGGGGATACCATTAACATTTTTGGCAAGATAGTATATTAATATTTTGGCAGAAAATACATGTTATTTCAAGGTATAATGTATAGTAGTTCATACCATTTTCACAGATGTGTGATGTAGAACCCATGGCTTTGTGTCTTATTTTTCCTTCATGTCATTCGGATGTAGTACTGAAGTACTAATCTTTGTAGTTCTTTCTATACTTTATTAACTCTTGTAGGTTGGCATATACATTACTATCAGGCATTGATTTCATGATCTTTTGTCATTAGATTATAAATTTGTTGAGGGTAGGGATTTGCGTTTTGTTTATTACTATAAAGGAGGAAAAATACCTCTTCCTTATATTCTACTTAGGTTTTTGACTGGGGTTCCTGTAGTAAAAGATAGAGTAACAGAAAGAAAAGCATGTGGATTTATTTAATATAAGTTTTCCATGATATGTAGTCTTCATAAGGAAATAAAGACATAAAGAAACACTTAAATCTAAATGTTTTTATGCTAGATTCGATAGAAAGTACAGTCTTCCAGTGTGCCAAGATTTTATATGGTATGAGTAGAGGGGGAGGAACTAAGCAAGGCCTGTTCTGATTCTTTTGTGTCCCTTCATCTTCAGAGTAGCAGGCATAAGTATGATTCCTCTCAACGAAGAGTCTTTATGGCTTTACTCAGGAGAGAAGGGTGAAGGTTTGAAAGTCATTCCTGCACATACTGTTTCTCAGATTTCTTCAGTTTATATGTTCAGTATGGCAAGGAGCCATATTGTGGGGCAGTGTATTCTGAATCTTGTCACTACGATCTTCAATAGTACCTGTAACTCTGTCATGACTCAGTAGGTGCTCAGTAAATTTTAAATCACTTTGCTGTTACTGAAAAATGAGACTTCGCTCCTAGTTACTAGATAGGGGCTGTGTTAGCTTTCAGTCACTCTGACAAAATACTTGAGAAAATTAACTTATAGGAAGAAAGATTTATTTTAGCTTGTGGTTTCAGAAGTTTCAGTCCATAATTGGCTGCCTCCCATTGTTTCTGGGCCTAGTACATCATGACAGAAGGGCATGATAAAGCACAGCTGCTCAACTCATGGTGACCAGGAAGTTTTTCTGCTGTCTCAGTCTCTTAAAAGGCAAACTTCCAATAATCTTACCCCACCACATAGGCCCCATTCTTAAAGTTACCAGTGGTGCCACCTCCCAGTAGTGCCAACCAGCTAGATAGAGTCTAACTCATCATAAACCTTTGAGGGACACATCAGATCCAAATAATAACAGGAGCCATGCCTTTTACTAATACTGAGCAACAAAGGGAACTGAGCAAACATATAAATATTGGGTGTTGAACTTAGCAAATTTTTGGGAGTTGCTATATTGAAGCACATTGTACTGTGTGATAAGAGCATACAGGGCTTGGCATCCCTGTCTATGTGGCATGTTTGCCTAATTACGTAGATTTTAGTTGATACACAAATAACAAAAATACAATAGCTAAGAAGGAGCTCTGGAGTTAGTAGATTTAATTTCTGTGTCTGCTGCTTAGTACCTGGGTGCTCTCTACTACCTTACAGGGATTGTTAGGTTCTTTTGAAATAGTTGATATGACTGTTTTGTGTAAAACTAAGTTTCTGTTACTGGAAAATAATGTCATATGACAAGTTGTGGTAAAACCAAATTTACAGATTGGAAATACCACTTCTGGTTTGAGGTGGAACAAGCAACAGACTTAAGTGGGGGAACATTTAAATAGATCTTAAATAATTGATAGAATTTATAGGGTAGTAGAGATGGGACGAGATTTCCTAGAGTTAGAAGGATGAAATATGAAGATGGAGTAGGATGTCTCCTGAAAGTAGACGTGCCTCTCAGTAATCTCATATTTTCATCCTACCCACTCCACCTTCCCTAGTTTGTTACTTCTTTACTAAAGCCTTGCTTCATTTCCTTCCATCTTCCTCTACTCCCTCCCAAGAGAACAGTTGTCTTTCTAATCTTGATTTTCCAGGTAGAACAGTTCATGCCTTTGAATTAACTATTACTGCATTTTGAATGTCCATGCTTCTCCTTCCATGTTCTAGATTGCATGCTTCTTGAGAGTGGGGGAAGAACAGTGTATTTGGTTCAGCTTACTCAGCCCTAGAGTGCCATCCCTGGCACTAAGTAAATGCTCAAATTATTCTAGGAATAGAATAGTAAATGAATGTTCCCTATTGAAAACAATTCTATCTAAACTACCCCCCAAAAAAAACCAAAAAGATTTTTCAGTGGATGTTTTCTAAGTCCCTCATGACTCCCTGAATCTGTGAATAGTCTTATCACATATAATGTTTTTATTTGAAAAAATTGGGATAATGAGAAAACTAAATTAACATTTATTACATTTTACAATATACTTTAGTGTTTCTGGGAAAGTATTTAGAAGTCAAAGGAAATGCATAATATAATTTTAGAATAAATAAATTTTAATATTTAAAAATCCATATGCCCCAGAATGTCACTCAGCTGTTTATATTTGAACTTTAAACATCAATGATTGTATTTCTCAAATCAGTGACTGACAGTAAGCAGTTGTGTGATAAGTGCCCTTGGTCCCCAATGCCTAGGACAAGATGACTGCGAGGGAATGTTCCACACCATCTGCTAGAGATCCCTAAAGGATTGAGTACTAGTCAAAGCCCAGCCATAAGCAACCTAATAGTACATCCGTTATTGGTTTCATTTCTTTCCTGTTTTGCTTCTTCACTTCCTTGCAGGTGTTTCTTGGGGCAACTTCCTAAATAAACTCCTAATAGTAAAACCTTTTCTCAGTGTCTAGTTGTACCCAAGACAGTGTCATACTACCCAAATCATTATGGCAGGAAGCATTTTAATTTAATAAGAGTTTAAAATATCAAATGTTTTAGAAACCAGAGAAATTTTTAATGTAAACTTGAAAATTTTAGAGAAATTTGTTCACAAGGATCAGTGCAGAAGCTTTATTTTTGAAAGTTTTACTTTTAGAGAAGATTTATAACACAGAGTAGGTATTCAGATGTTTGTCCCCCCTCCTTCCCTACCTCCCTCCATTTCCTCCTCCCCCTACCCCCTCTTCTCCCTCCCTTCTGGGGCCTAGGTAGCTAGTTCTTATTTGGAATCTACAGGCAGAATAAGTCAGGATAAGTTTCAGCATCTGTCCCTTTGGTACTGTAAAAGGACTCAGTCAGTGATGATTGAACCCAAAAATGTAACTTACTAGGTGTTGTTTTTGTACACAGTTTTTTTTAGCAGTAACATTTTCTAGGTTTATATTACACATTTTCTTTCAATTCTGCTTTCCTAGTGATAAGGATCATAAAATTAAAAGCACTAAGAAACAGAAACAGTGATAGGATACAGATACAAACAAGAGAGAATAGGCTAGCATATTTTGAGTATTTTCTTATTTCTGATGAATAGATTTTAAAAAAATAGCTGACAGGTGCCAGGTGTGGTGGTGCATGCCTGTAATCCTACTACTTGGGAGGCTGAGACGGGAGGATTGCCATAAGTTTGAGGCCAGCCTGGCCTCCTCAGTGAGTTCAAGGCCAACCTGGACTATGTAGTGAGACCCTGTCAATACAAACAAACAACAACAACAGAAAAAGCAAAGCAAAGCAAAACAAAACAAAACAACAACAAAAAAAATGCTGACAGAATTTTGCTTATAGTTTTTAAAATTTCAAGGCATGTTTGATTAAATAAGAGCCCAGTATATCTCTCCAAATTGATTGGATCTGTGCCACCTGCTGACTCATCACTATTATTTGCTATTTAAAAAATATAGCTATATTGTAATGCATGGTAGTTTTATTTTTTTTTTATTATTTTTTTTTTCCAAAATTTTATTGATGCATGGTAGTTTTAAAAACCTTAACATCGTGGATACCATATTTTATTTAATAGCATCATATACATTAAATATTAATGCTTTTCCTAAAAGTCTCTTTTTCCCCTTCCTTTATAGAATGCTGCCTTTTTATATGGTCTTGGTTTGGTCTACTTCCATTACAATGCATTTCAGTGGTAAGTTTACATAAAACCAATAATTTTAGTTGTTAATAGTAAATAGCTTGTGTTAGTTTGTTTTTCTTTGATTGTGTATGCATGAGTGTATATGTAGTAAAATATTTTAATGTCAATAAGTGCATTTTTCAGTAATGTTTTAAAATGATCAGATTATTCCTTCACATATCAATCCACCTTAGAGTATTAGAGTTGTGTGTAGGGGCTGGGGAATGTAGCTCAGTGGTGGACCATGCACTTTGCATGCGCAAGGCTAGCCCTTGGTTCAATACCCAGCACAGCAAAAACAAAATCAAGTTGCGTGTACAGAACAATCTGGTATAAATTTTCAACTATTATATAATAATGTGGTATAACATTTAGTCAAAGAAAGCTTACGTTAGGAAGCTTTGTGGGATTACTCATTGTTGACTAGTGGTCCCCATGTTACTTAAACTAACAAATGATTGTGATCTCAGGCCTGAAGATCTTGCTCCATTATGATCAGTATCTTTACCTTTTTTGACTTCTAGATAAGATTGTCTACTCCTCTCTCCTGCCAACACTGGCTTGCAATCCCCAATTTCTAGTAATTAGGCACTGTATTATAAACTTTCAGTTCTTCTCGTATACAATAAGCATAGTAGTATCACTTGAGAGCTGGAGATTAATTATAGCAATGAATAAGATTTTATAGATTGTAAAATATGAAATTCTGTTACTTATTACCTTTGTCCTATTGTTTTCTGTTTGCCAGACAATAGCAGGCTCTAAATGAAAGAACGTAGAATTTGAGTTGGAAGAATGATGTTCAGGTTGCAGTATTGCCACTTAGTTTGAACTTGTTAAATAATTTTCCTAGGTCTGTTTCCTCATTTGTTTAAGGAAGATTCTAAAACAAAACTAAATTACAATTACATGCCTTTTACAGAATTTTCATGATCAAATGAGATACTGTAGTCTTGTGAAGATGTATGCTTTTTTGTTTGAAGTATATCTGACATTGCCAGAATCCCTTCTGTGGTGCAGAATTTTAAGCTGAATGGGTAATAAGAATCAGAGGAAAGTGATTGTGTATTTTACCATAGGTTACAATTAAGAATTATATATATATATATATACATATATATATATATATATATATCTATCTGAATATTTGTTACAGAACTTTTACGTATTAATAGTGATTTGATACTTTTTTTCTGAAGAGCAAACTAACCATGGCTTGATTTTCCTTGTATGAGTTTTCTTTCCTTTCGCTTTTGGTCCTATTAACTTCCAATCGTATATGGCAAACACTGTATTATTAGAAAGCACCTGTGATTATAATCATTCAGAACACTGCTTTTCAAAAAGCAGTAATGATTTTCATAGAGAATCTTTATAATTTTCTTCTAAATTATCCCTTTCTTTACACCAATCCTAAATTAAGCTTTCTAATTTCATGTTCAGTGTGTCACATTTAAAACCAAGGATAGACTAGACCAGTAATACTGTATTTTAAAATCTGTTAGATTCATAAAGATCCTATTTGTAGAATTCAAAATTCTAAATGTTTAGGATTAGAAATATCTTAAGGGTAATTTGTTTTTTCTCCCTTAATTTTGTGAGTGAAGAAAACATTTAATTCAGATTTACATATTTTAGTAGTAGAAACAAGCTTATGCTCAGATTGCCTGAACATGTATACATATCTTTCCCCAAGTTTGAAGTAGATAGGTGTTTATGTTTTAATCAGTATTTATAGTGGTTCTGTTAGTGATATTGATACAGTCTTTATGGCCTGGTGGAACTAATTTAGGCACACATAAAGCAAGGAACTCTACAGTTTAGGAATGAATACTTGTGCCATAGCAGCCAGTTTTTACAACCTCCGGTGACCTTTGAGTCCTTCTCTGTATGGAAGATAAGAACACAAAATTTGATTGCCTTAATAAGTTTGTGACCATGCTAAGTTATAGGTCTTATAGCTGTGGAAAATTATTATATCTTTTTATTCCTTATCTACACAGAATTTCTATATCCTTCAGTTGATCTGAGAAATAAAATTGAATGATGAAAGTACAATGCAGTGTCTGAATTAATAAGTGCCCTCTGCTCTATTGATCATGTCTTGATCACCATTGTTTTGTTAAGCTTCAGTGCTGTAACCCCTTCCTAAAATAATACAACTCAGCTTGTCTATGAATTTACTCTGGCTTTGCTGTTTCTTCTCTTGCTCATCAAATGTTCTATCGCAAACTGTACCTCACATTTCTTTTTAAATTATATTATTTCTTGAACAACCAAAAAATTAGAAAGCATGGTATAGTGCTTGTTGGGAGAGTATACCTTTACTTAGGTTAAAACTACTTTGTGTTTTATTTGCACATATGGTTTAATTGCTGGGATTAAGAAATTTTAATTGCACACCAAATTTTTAGGGATTTGTTGGATAAATGATTCTAAAGAAAATAATTGTATCTTTTCATACTGTCAGCGCAAAGAATCTGCTTCAGTTGTCTCTGTTGTATCTTTAGTCTATGTAATTGAAGTCCAATTTGGCATTTGGTTATGAAGTGTTTTGACATTTGATGAGACTATTTTATAATACTGTGTGTAAGTATCATGTGTGTTTGACAAATGGGTGATGGTGACTTAATATACTATTAAAACAATTTTATTAACTATAGTATTGTTAGCCTTTTTGTTTTTATCAGATTATTCCATTCATTTTGTTTTTCTATTGTAGTTGATTTTATTGGTCAATTTCTAGTTCAGATAGATTATATGGACAGTTTTCCAGTTTCAGTGAGTCCCTTTTTAGATAGATAAGTTCATATCAGAAAAGTACATTTGAGCAACTGTTACATGACTTCTCTTTATTATATAGTTGTATTATTATTCTTGTGAAGGATCTGGGACTAAACTTTAAAGAAGATACCTAGAATGAGAGAGATACAGAAGCACATGGTAAAGCATATACAGCAGAGAGCTAGAAACAGGTCTCTCTGTAAAGCTGTTTCTTTACATATGCATGTATCTAAGCCTTAACTTGGAGAGGAAACAAAGTAGAGAAAGTCAGACTGATGGAAAAAAGATCATTTGGGGAAGAAATAGTCCTTTGACAATCCAATTAAAGGAAACAAACTGTCCTTACCCAGTACAGCATATAGCCATGTCACTAAATACATGTTTGTAAAAATGCTTTTCAGCTGTTTGTAGGCTATCACCTTTTCTGCTCTTCCCATTGACCTCTATAGAATGGGCTGATGGTTGCAAATATAATGGTGCAGTGTTGTGCCACAGGCATAGGGCTTTGGAAATTAGGCTGCCAAACCTGGTAAGGAAATGTAGTGGTCATTATTATGTTTATAAAAAAGTATTAGAAGAATAAGGTGGGAGATAAATTTTAAAAGGCATGCTAACACAAAGTTTCTTTAGGATTTATTTCCATAGCATTGTAACAATCATGAATGTTCTCAAGGGTGTAAGAATTTCTGTGCTCTTGTATGGTCACTGACTGCTCTGAGTATAGTTAAAAAACAAACAAACAAACAAACAAACAAAAAAACCCCAACAACAGCGACGATCTTAAAAGCTTTTGGATTGGGTCTGGGAAATAGCTCTGTAGAATGAGCGCTTGCCTGGCAAGCACGGGGTCCTGAGTTCAATCCTCGGTACCACCAAAAAAAAAAGGTTTTGGATGAAATGAAAGAAAATAGTGCACAATTACACCTGTATAGCTATGGTACCTTTAATCTAGGAATGGGATGTAATAAAAGCTTAATATTTCCAGGTATGGTGGCAAATATCTGCAATCCCAGTGCTCTGGGAGCTGAGGCTGGAGCATTTGAAGTTGGCCCAGCCTGGACAGTTTAACGATGCTGTCTTAAAATTAAAACAAAAGGCAGGAGTGCTGTAGCTGAAGTCCCCAGTACCTTTACCTCCCATATATTTTTTAAGCTATCATAATATAAACATGCTCTTTGACTGAAAGTTTAATGTAAATTATGTTTCCATTAAAGTTAAAACAGTTATCTGGGTGTGGTGGTACATGCCTGTAATTCTAGTACTCAGAGGCTGAGGCAGGAGAATCCTTGTGAGTTTAAGGCCAGTCTGGGCTACAAAGTGAGACCCTGTCTCAAAAAAACAAAATGAAAAACAATTGATGTTCAATAACATATGTTTATTATGTACAGTGCCATTTTAAAAACTAAGAAAACAAAAACTAGGAGGTGAAACTAAGGCAGTTCTAATAAAAATCTGCTTAACTAGTGATAAAAAAGATTGCCAGAGAAAATCTGAAAGGGCTTTGATTAAGCTTCAAGGAAATTATGGAAGAAAGCGTAAGTCTTCCAACAGAGACAGGAAAAAATGTATCTCACTGTCTGAGATTTAAGTGAAGACTGTCTAGAGAAAGTAAAATAATAACCCAGTGTGTGATCTTTCTAATTTCACCTTGCATTTAAGGTCCTTTCTGATTCAGCCTCAAATGATCCTGCTAGCTCAGCTAGTGCTCTTCTAAATACATTCTTTGTGCTCATCACACTGTATTAACACTTCCCTAAAAACATCTTAAGCATTTTATGTGTGACTTTCTTTGTGCCATTTAATGTTTGATCTGTCTTCTTTTCCAACTCTACCTTTTAAAATCTTATTACCTCTTTATTTCATCAAATATTTGATTGTTTCATTTAAAAAGAACCTCTTAATTCCTAATGTACATACGGAAGCATGTATGTTGTGTGTATATATGTTATAGATTTAGAGCTAGAATATTCTTTTAATTATTATGAAATTTTGTGGAAGTCATTCATTTATTCCTTCATGTATCCTTGAGGAAAATTTATGGACTCACCTAAACCTGTAATAGGAACATTAGCTAGTATTGTTATTTTTACTATAGAGGAGGTTGGTTTTCTAGAAATGTTATTAAAAGCTATGATGGTTGGACTGGCGAGATAGTGTGGCGGTCTAAGCACCTGCCGTCCACAGAAGCCTGGGCACACTGTGCTGGCCACCAAAGGCTGAGATAGGAGGATCGCTAGGAATCTGAGCTGCATAGCAAGACCCTGTACCAAACAAATAAATGAATAAATTAAAAAATTTAAAACCTACAATTGTTTTACTATACATTCAGCACATGCATATGTTTTTTGGAAGTAGTGCTCTTGAGTTTTTTCCTATAATTTTCCTTTTAAAATTGTTAATAGAAATTTAAAAAACTTTAAACTGAATAAACTGAAAACTATGTAGACATAATATTGGCAAAATAAAATTTTTTTTAGGTAATTTAAAATTGTCAATTATATCATGCATAGTAGTAATACATAACTTTTTTGTTGCAGTACAGAGTATGCTGTAAGTTTTGAACACAGTGAACTTCTAAAAAACTGAACATTTCCAGGCACTTTATCATAAACATATTTTAGTTTTGGTAGTCATCACTATAAAATTCTTTGTCAGAACTCTGAAATCAGAACACATTATATCTGTTGATGATTTATTCTAGTTTGTGCTGGAGAAACTGTTCTGGATGCATGGATTTTGGTGAGATAGAATTGTAGTAAAAGGAAAACTAAAATGAGAATATATTGTCTAGTTATTTTTGTCTTGTTTCTGCAGCAAAATACCCAACACCCAAAAGTTGAAGAAAGGCTCATTTAGTTTACAGTTGGTGAGGTTTCAATTCATAGTTGGCTGACTCCAAGGTAGGGTGGCATGACAGAGGAGAAACAGTTCATGGTGGATAGAAGGCAGTAAAGTAGTGGAGAAACAAAGCAGCAAGTGACAAGTGACCCCAGTAGCCTTCTTTCCTTTCCTTGTATTCTGTCCAGGCTCCCTGCCCTTAGCACTCACACCCAAGGACGACCTCCTATTGTCTCCTCCTACAACTATGGCAGACCAATCAGTGGACTGACTTGGTAATCACACACCCTTGAGCCCAGCATCACACACCAGAGACATTAGACACAAGCCGTAGCAAGTGGTACTTGTTTTCTCTGCCCTACACAGGTATTTTCTTTTCTCCCTTACCCTTAGTTGCTTTATTTTCCTAGGTAAGGGAAAATTGAAGGAGCATGTGGGAAAGAAAGATGGGCAAAAGTTGAGAAAGGAAATGAATAATGTATTTTGTGTTAGATGAGGTAAACTGTCAGTAAAGAAAAGAGACTGTAGAGCATCTGTTCAAAGTTTTTTTTTTTTTTTAATTTATTTTATTTTTTATAGTACTGGAGTTCAAACTCAGGACCTTCTGCTTCCCAGGCACGTGCTTACCGTTGCTCAGCTATATCCCCCACCCTGTCCACTTAAGTAATAAGCCTCATCAATTAATTGTCATCAGTTAATACCTATTAAGCCTTTCCTATATTATTTAGAATATTAAAAGTAAAAGTAATGTGAACCTTAAAGAATAGACTTAGAAAAGCTGGAGACAATGCAAATCGGTAGAAAATAAAGTAATTTTATAAACTCGACCTAACTGCTGAATAACACTAATTAAAAAATATTTGATGCTAAGGTTGGGTGGTGAGCCTTGAAGATAACAGTAGATTTATTTATTTATTTATTTTTTAATTTTTTTTTTGGTGGAACTGGGGATTGAACTCAGGCCTTTGCACTTGCCAGGGAAGCGCTTATTCCACTGAGCCATCTCCCCGGCCCCATTAACAGTAGATTTAGAAGGAAGCTTAAGAGTGAAAATATTGGGCCAGGGAGATGGCTCAGTAGAATAAGTGCTTCCCTGGCAAGCACAAAGGCCTGAGTTCAATCCCCGGTTCCACAGGGGGGGGAAAAAAAAAGTGAAAATATTCCACAGCAGGAGAGCACAGTAAGGAGAAACACTGAAGAGAACAGTGCCAGTATAGGCCGTTTCATACTTGAAGAGGACCAGTGTTTGGGATGTACCTGGGAATGGAGTTGTACAGCTGTTGTTCACAGATCTTACACCCAACATGGAGATATGATTATTGTTAGTAAGGTGGTTATTAGGCAGTCACAAGGGTCATCTGTTAATTAATGCAAACTAGAGCAAAGTGAAAAAGTCGTTAAAGACTTATTTTATAAATCTAGTAATAAAACACTGAAAATTAGCTCTACAAGGTAGTGCATTTAAAATAATAGCTTATTGTCCTGAACAATTTAAAAAAGTCTTTGAAAAGTAAATAGAAGCCTAACCTAAGTGTGTTTGGAGTATGTCTTTGTGTTAATAGGTTAACAGGTCCCTCTCCCCCCCACACGCTAACATACACTGAGAGTGTGTTAGATCCCTTGATTTTTTTTTTTTTTTTTTTTTTTTTTGTGACTGTGTCATATTGTGAATCAAATGGAAGAGCTATCTATACTAAAGGCACTGTTTCAGTAAACCATCCACAAATACTACGTTTATGGAGAAGGTGGAATAGAAACAGACTGAATAAGAAGTTCCTCCCTGAGGCATTGTTACTGATTTCCTGTGTTCCCTATCACTCTCCTCCTTGTATACCTTTTATTGTACCTTTTTTCCTTTCCTAACTTCTCTTTATTTCTTTCTTTCCTTGCTGTGTTTTTCTTTTGTATCTGTGATTCAGGCTATTTGAGTTTTTATTGGCACATGTGGACATTGCTTAGTTCTGACCCATTTATTCCATTAGATAATTTTCTGAACTGTATCGTAACATAAGGTTAATTAGGACATTATGAAGCATTCTTCATAAGCTTTATTACGATAAAATATGTCATTTAAAATATGTAGATCCTAGGTGTACATCATGACATGTTAATGTAAAATAAAAATTCATATAGCAATCACCTGGGTCAAGAAGTAAAACATTGCTATCAACCTAGGAGCTTCCTAAAGCTACTCCCTACCTTTTGTCAGTCATATCCTATGTTTTAATTAGCATAATTTATTATTGTAGTTCTCTGTTGTAACCTTTTTGGGCTGGGAGTGCTGAGGATTGAATATAGGGCTACATGCATGCTAGCATGTGCTCTACTGCTAAGCTATCTTGTCAGCCCTCTCTCCCCAAACACGTGTGTTGTCTTCTGCCATGTGTGTGTTCAGGGACTGAGTAAGCCACCTTTGAATGAGAATGGTAGTTTGCCCTAGTTCTTTTCTATTAGTTGTTTGACTGCCTCTCCTGCCTTAAAGTCTGTGTACATCAAATAAGGAGATATGTGTATACCATACCTACTTTAAAAAATGGAACAGACAGTTGCACAGCTCTTCTTCAGGGAATAAATTAAGTACTATCATAAGCAGCTGTGATTGTGTCTGATGTCACCTATGCTCCACCCGCACCCCTCATCTCTTTTACGATTCTTAATTTTATGATAAACATGCACATTACCGCACAATCTGTTGGAAGTAGAAAGTGCCTAAATCATCAACATATGAATTATTCTGTTTTGTGGTATAATATAGAAAAAATAGTTTTGTTTTTTGAAGAATCACAGATTCAAAATAGCTATGTTTAAGATCTGTAATGGTACAGCTAGTTGTTAAAAAGCTTTGCAAGAAATATATAAGTTTGTGCTTTGAACAAGCTTTAAATCATGTAAGGATTTAAAATGACTTCTAATATACTGTTATATTTGCTACCATGATTTAAAAATTTAAAGTAGATTGTCTTTGTCATTACTATTTAATATTAATTTCTGATTAGGTACTATATTCACATGATCATTAAGCAGTATAAAAGTGTGATCGGTGAAAAATATACCTTTCCCCCCCACTTCTAAATTTCTTCTTTTGATAATGAAAACCTTTCATAAAAATACAATGTATAAATTTGAAGCAAAGATAGACAGGAAAATTAAATGGAATAAAGAACTTAGGAATGGACCCAATAAATATGGACATTTGATTTATGACAAAGTAGCACTGTTAGAGCAAGGAAGATTATTTTTACTTCTAATGGTGCAAGAACTATTTCATATTAGCTAGGGAAAAATACACGAATTGATCCCTTCCTCACACAGCATAAAAGATATATGGATCATCAATTTAAATATGCAAGCAAAAAATAATAAGTTGTAAAAAGACTTAATTTTATGGAATGGACTAGAAACAGTATTAATCCCTCCTCAAGAAAATTTATGTTGGCACTTTAAAAGAATATTTGAAAATTTAGGTGATGGCGATGTTTATTAAGTATGAACTGGAAGATACGTAAGTTTGGGTTTCAGGGTACAAAAAAGTTGTGATAATTTTCTTGAGGAGGAGGGATTAATCCTTCCTAACCTCTGTTTTTCTCCCTCCCCAAATTCCAGAACTGGTGAGCTCAGTTATTGACACTGAGAAGTTTATTAAACCATAATATATTGTTTGTTGGAATACTGATCTCCAAACCCCTTTTATATGAAATTTGATTATATATATTTAATTACATAAAAGACCCAAGTGTCCCTTTCTAGTTTTCTTTTTGCCGTTTATATCGTTCTAATAAAACTCACATTTCTTTTAAAACAGTATTGCATAAAACAAGTTTTACTGTACTACCAAGCAGAAATTCATGCACGTTTTAAAAAGTTAAGATATCTTATGTCTATATTCTTTCAGGGCAATTAAAGCATTTCAGGAGGTGCTTTATGTTGATCCCAGCTTTTGTCGAGCCAAGGAAATTCATTTACGACTTGGGCTTATGTTCAAAGTGAACACAGACTATGAGTCTAGTTTAAAGGTAGGTTGTTGGGTTTTTTTCAAGATACAATGTTTCATTTTTGTGTTTTTTTTTTTTTTTTCCTTCCTTATTTCTGTTATTCTTACATATTAGAACATTGAAAAATGTTAAAATTTATATTGGCACTTTAAAAGAATATTTGACAATTTAGATGATGGAGCTGTTTTATTATATATGAGATGGAAGATATATAAGATTGGGTTTCAGGATACAAAAAGTAGTTATGATGCTCAAATTGAAGTTTCCTTTTAAGTTTTGACTAAAACCTATTTTCAGGCTAGAGTGAAGGTTTCAATCTCTATTTGGACATCCACATTACTTCCCTATAAGCGATATGCTGCAATAGAGGTCAGAAGTAGGTACTTACTGATACTGTATATATAACTCAATCCTTGGCCATTCTATGTGTGGCTATCAGTAGAAATCTGCTCACCTCTACCAGCAGGACATATGTTATATCTAAATTATAAAAAATATTCTTATGGCATGTGGATTGCTAATAGATGAATAGAAACATTGGGAAAACATAATATGTTATTAGCCAGATATCTAACTTCTATCTATAGAAATTTGATGCTTTTCCAGTTTTCTGTGGAGTTTCTTGTGCTGTGTCTCCTAGCACTTTAGCTCTCACTGGGCTTTTCATGAAAGTATTGCTTCCCTGCGTGAGAAAGAATTGCAATTTGAAAAGATTAGGTGTTCTAGGAAAAAGCTTAACTTTTTGTGAGTTTATAAATAATATTTGTAATGGTTACTGTGTTCTACATATCTCCATTGTATATTCTTTTGATTCTGGAGGGGAGGGCAAAAGGGAGATAATGACTTTACAGTGAGTTGTAATTTGAATTCACTAATACAAAACTACAATATTTTTTAAAAGCTACATAGGAATGTCTTTGTTACCAATTTTTAAACTAGAAAATCATACAACTACTGTTTTGTGTAAGAATGAATGAGAGAAGTAGTAGATTGGGAAGAATTTAGCTTCTAGTGGTCAAAGGTAAGTGCAGTTAAGGAACAGATCCCCAGGGTAATGTATAAGAGGTGTGAGTATAAGAGATACCTGGAAGGTACCAGTTTTCTTTAGGCTCAGAACAACATTTTCTCAAATTGTATTATGGGGCGTGAGTAGATTTAAAATGGAAAATAAATTCAGATATGCCACCTTGCATATTTTGACGCTTCTTGGGCAGTCACATTTTCTAGTAATTATCACAGATTTGTAAGATGTCACATAGTACAACATAAACTTGTTTGAACATTTCACAACCTTGTCACAACTTGCCTGTTGTGTTGCAAAGCCGTTTTTGATGATAGTTTAGTAAATGTTGCTGGGGAAATACACTTGAGGGGAAAAATGGTTAAATGTATCTTATAGTAATTCTGTGGATACAAATCTATTTTTGAAAAGGTGACAATATTAAAGAGGATTTGAACCTTTTATCGAGGGGGTACAATGTTCCGTGGCTAACGGAAAGTATTCATATTGTACTTATGCACAACCTAAAATATTTCTGTATACTCTTTTATTTGTTCAGGCATAAATTAAAGGCCTTTAAATCATTATGTTCTTAGCAAAATTGATTTAAGTAAGAGTGGCTGCTTTTGGGGGTGGGGGCTTTCCTTTTATTTTAAATAACGGATAGCATTCTGTTATGTTTTATTTGTATGAATATAGGAAAGAATTTAAGAATCCTTGCTAGGGAGATAGCTCAGTAGAATAAGTGCCTCTGTGGTAAGCATGAGGTCCTGAGTTCAATCCCCCATACTGAAGAAAAAATAAAAGTGTATATTTGGGCCGGCCAAATAGCTCAGCAAATTAAAGCACCTGCAAGCAGGCACAGGGGCCAGGAGTTCAATCCCTGGGCCTACTGTACCCACCCTGCCTCTAGGGCTTGCTGAGCCGGCAATTGATGGTGGCGCGCGCCTGTAATCCCAGCTCTTGGGAGGCTATAAACAGGTGGATCACTGAGTCCCATCTAGTAGTGAGACCCTGAACACCCTGTAGACCCTTCCCTAAAATACAAAGAAAAAAAATCCTTAATATTTCTCTTCCCCATAGTGTAGAGATTTCCATTGATTTTAATCTCACCCTGAGATTGGCTTTTAAAGCGTTCTTTGTCCAGTATTTGTGTATTTTAAGGATGATTTTAGATACCAACATTTTTATTTGAAGAGGTGATACTTTAGTGTATTACCACAGATGCTTAGCATTCAAGTGTGAATCAAAAATACCCTTCTCTCCTTAAATTGCTTTGTGTTTTCCTGGCTAGTACTTAACTTCATCTGAATAGAGGTGGAACCTCTTGAGTTTTCCACCACATTATGCTCTTTCATAGCACAGTGTGTTGATAGAGATCAGTGGTGGCGAACCTGTAGCACGCCTGCTGCAGTGGGCTGTTTGTATCATTGAAATCTCTGAAAAGTCTGCCATCATTGATGTAGATGCATTTCAGACTGCAAACTCAAAACCTCCAACTCAGACTGGATAAAGTAATAAGACATGCTAGCTTATATGAAGTCCAGTCTCTGGGGTTGGTTGATTCATCTGATCCTGAGTTCTGTCAAGGAACCTTTTCTGTTCTATGTTGGCTGTTCTAAAGGCTGGTTGCTCTAGTTTGATAATGTAAGAGGGTAGTTGCCATGTGCAATTAAAGAGAAATTGTGTATTTCTTGTTTTGTATAGAAAAACCTTGTAGAGCAGTGGTTTATGTGCTTAATGTAGTGCTGGCATAAAATAAGGGCCTAGTAGATGATTGTTGTTTTATATAGGAAAAAGATTTTGACTTCCTGCTGATCTTTTAAAAGAAATACTTCACCTTGTATCTCATTAGCTAGAAATATGGTACACATGGCCATTCCTGGTTGATTCCTTATCAAATGAATTGTCATTACCAGTTATGTTCAGTCTTTGAGCAGGGTTCAAATCTTCATATATACTGTCCTGATGATATTTTAGTGTGAATGGCAGTATAAACAATCTATTACTGGTCAGAACTTCTCATATTTCTTTTCCCTTTCCAGAAGGATGTAGTATGTATAATATTTTTTAGGTAATAAAATGTTTAAATACAATAGTTTATTTTCTTAATAGGTTCCTTCTTTTCACCTACATATGAAATGTGTTCCAGGGCTGACTTTTTTTTTTTTTTTTTTAATTGCTGGTGATAATATTTCTCACAAAATGTATCTCTAAAACAGATTAATTCCATTTTGGTACTTTGTAAACATCTCCGAGAACAAGGAATTTGGTTTTGAAATTTGATCCTTCTACATACCACACAACTAACTTTCCTTATTCTTCTCATTATCTATGTCTATAGAGCTGGAACAATCCTATTTGCCTCAGAAGATTGAAATAAAGATGAGTATGTGTACACATACAGGCATATTTTGTACTTACAGTATTTTTCAGCCATTGTTTAGTTCTTAATTTATTATCTAAAGCTCTTTTAATTTAGGGTCAGAGTAGAGATTGTTTTTGAAATCCATTTTTCGTTCCCATAATTTAATTCTTATTTTTTTTCACTCTGCTTATCTTCAGAAATACAAAGTTAATGTTTAGCTTACTTTTCAATCATGTGGTGTTATTTTTCCATTAAATTGGTTAATACAGATTTCATGTAAGTAGTGGAGATACCAGTCCTTAATTTTTGAATTAGCTTATTATCTGAACCAGAGCCTATTCCAAGGTGACATTTCTGCATGGCTTTTTGTTGCTGTTGCTATTATCTACTTTAGATAGTATCCCTTCAGTTGGGTTTAGTTGCTTATTTAACACCATACAATTAATGCATTTTATTTTATTACTTTTAAAAGATATTGATAATCAATTATATCTGTTATATATTTGAAGTGACATACTATCATTGCACTCAAAGAACAGTAATTCTTCCTCTTTTTTTCTTTTTTTTTTTTTTTTTTTTTTTTGGGACAGGATTTTACTGAGTAATCCGGGCTAATCTTGAACTCAGTATGTTGTCCAGCCTGGCCTGAAATTCATGTTAATCTCCTGCGAGTGCTAGGATTACAGGCCTGTGCCACTGTCCCTGGCTCAAAGTACACTAATTCTGACAAATAATTGACTTCACTTTCACATCCTGGAAAACTGTTTGAATAATTTCTCTCATGTGAAGCTAACAAATGCAAAATAAGATATAATAGCACCTGTATTGTAACATCTAATAGTCTTCATTTAAGGCCAGTACATCTATTTAATGCAAGAAAAATTATATAGGATAAAAAATTATATAGCATTTTTCTCTAATGTTTATATTTAAAAAATAGTTTTAAAGTATTTCAGCTTTTATTTTAAATTGTTAAAATGTAGAAGGTGGCTTTCATGTTTTTGGGAACCCGTGCCTCACTGGTTAGGTTACCACTGCATATTTGAGAATGATAAATGCTGATTTGTAGGGGTTAATACACAATAAGTAAGAAGATGAGAATTACAGAGACAGTTTAAATGAGACTTGTCTGTTAGCCTGTTAATGTACTGGGTGTTGGTGTTTCTTGAATGGGCAGATACATGGAAAAGGCTGTAAAATGCGTGCTCATAATAGAGATTTGAAAAACTTTGAAAATAAGAAGCTAGTTTAAATTTTTATCTCTTGATAGAGTTCTTTTCTGTACAAACTGACATGGCAGTTTTATTCAGTTCAATTCATCAGTTCACGTCCTTACTATATTTGGCATGAAGTTGTTGAGTAAAATAGTAATCCTTTTAAAACTTCATTCCATGATGTATCAATACTCTGTTGATTCTTTCTTGAAGAATTTCTTTACATTTCAAGTATCATTTTCTGGTCCAAATCTCAGGATAAAGACTAAATCTTACATCTTACTGTAAGATTACTTCATTACTTCATTTGCTTCATTTACTTCATTTCCAGGTCCCTGATTTGATCTCATATCCTGGGTAAAGCTCAGGAATTTTATTGTCATATATTTTGTATGGCAATATGTTAAGTCAGAAAGGTTAAGTGATAGCATGATGATAC